TAGTAGTAGTAGAAGTGGTAGTAGTAGTAGTAGTAGTAGTAGTAGTAGTAGTAGTAGTAGTAGTACGGGTCGGAGTAGTAAGTGGTAGTAGCAGGGGTAGTGGAAGTAATAGGAGTAAGTCGTAGTAGTAATAGTAGTAGTAGCAGTAGTAGTAGTAGTAGTATTGGTAGTAGTAGTAGTGGTAGTAGTAGTAGTCGTAGTAGTAGTAGTAGTAGTAGTAGTAGTAGTAGTAATAGTAGTCGTAGTGGTGGTGGTAGTAGTAGTAGTAGTAGTAGTAGTAGTAACAGCAGCAGTAGCAATAGTCGTAGTAGGAGCCGTAGTAGTAGCGGTAGTAGCTGTAGTCGTATTTCGAGTAGTCGTAGTTTTGTAGTAGTAGTAGTAGTCGTAGTGGTCCTTGTGGTCGTCGGCGCCGCCGTCGTAGTAGTAGTAGTAGTAGTAACAGTAGTAGTCGTAGTCGTAGTGGTAGTAGTAGTAGTAGTAGTAGTAGTAGTAGTAGTAGTAGCAGTCGTAGTCGTAGGAGTAGTAGGGGTAGTACAACTAGTAGCCGCAGCATCGTTAGTATAATCGAAATATTTCGTTGCCGTAGTACTAACATTAGTAGTTGTAGTAGTAGCCGTCGTCGTGTTCGTCGTAGTAGTAGGAGTAGCAGTCGTAGTAGTAGTAGTAGTAGTAGTAGTAGTAGTAGTAGTAGTAGTAGTAAGTAGAAGTAGTAGTAGTAGTAGTAGTCGTAGTAGTAGTAGTAGTAGTAGTAGTAGTAGTAGTAGTAGTAGTAGTAGTAGTAGTAGGAGTAATAGTGGCAGTAGTAGTAGTAGTAGTAGTAGTAGTAGTTACTAGTAGTAGTAGTAGTAGCTATCGAGTAGTGTAGTAGTAGTAGTAGTAGTAGTAGTAGTACTAGTGTAGTAGTAGTAGTAGTAGTAGTAGTAGTAGTAGTAGTAGTAGTAGTAGTTGTCGTATCACTAGTAGTTGTAGTAGTAGTAGTAGTAGTAGTCCTAGTAGTAGTCGGTAGTAGTAGTAGTAGTAGTAGTAGTAGTAGTAGTAGTAGTAGTAGTAGTAGTAGTAGTAGTAGTAGTAGTAGTAGTAGTAATAGTAGTCGTAGTAATAGTAGTAGTAGTAGTAGTAGTAGTAGTAGTAGTAGTAGTAGTAGTAGTAGTAGTAGTAGTAGTAGTCTAGTAGTAGTAGTAGTAGTAGTAGTAGTAGTAGTAGTAGTAGTAGTAGTAGTAGTAGTCGTAGTAGTAGTAGTGGCAGTGGTAGGATACGTCGTTGAGGTAATAGTTTCGCTGTAGTAAGAACAGTAGTGCTAGTAGTCGTAGTAGTAGTAGTAGTAGTAGTAGTAGTAGTAGTAGTAGTAGTAGTAGTAATACGATTAGTAGCAGTACTAGTAGTAGTAGTAGTAGAAGTAGCAGTAGTAGTAGTAGTAGTAGTAGTAGTAGTAGTAGTAGTAGTAGTCGTAGTAGTAGTAGAAGAAGTAGTGGAAGAAGTCGCAGTAGTAGCAGTTGTAGTAGTAGTTGGAGTAGGAGTAGCAGGAGTAGTAGGAGTCGTAGTAGTAGTAGTAGTAGTAGTGGTAGTAGTAGTAGTAGTAGTAGTGGACGTCGTAGTAGTAGTCGTAGTCCTAGCCGTAGTAGTAGTAGCCGTAGTAGTAGTAGTCGTAGTAGTAGTAGTAGTAGTAGTAGTAGTAGTAGTAGTAGTAGTAGTAGTAGTTGTAGCAGTAGCCGTAGTAGTAGTTGTCGCAGTAGTAGTAGTAGTAGTTAGTAGTAGTAATCGTAGTAGTTACAGTCGTATTCGGAGTGGTGGTGCCCGTTAGGAGTAGAAGTAGTATTTAGTAGTCGTATTAGTCGAGATAGTAGTAGTAGAGTAGTGTTAGTAGTAGTAGTTAGTCAGTAGTAGTAGTCGTAGTAGTAGTGGTAGTAGTCGTAGTAGTAGTAGCAGTAGTGGCAGTAGTTAGTAGTTAGTAGTAGTATGTAGTAGTAGTAGTAGTAGTAGTAGTAGTAGTAGTAGTAGTAGTAGTACTAGTAGTAGTAGTAGTTGTACTAGAAGTAGTAATAGTAGTAGGAGTAGTCGTTGTTGGTGTAGTAGTCGTAGTAGTAGTAGTAGTAGTAGTAGTAGTAGTAGTCGTAGTAGTAGTAGTAGTAGTGGTAGTAGTAGTAGTCGTAGTAGTAGTAGTCGGAGTAGTACAATTAGTAGCAGTAGTATCGTTAGTATAATCGAAATAGTTCGTTGCCGTCGTACGAGTATTAGTAGTTGTAGTAGTAGCCCTCGTCGTCGTCGTCGTAGTAGTAGAAGTAGCAGTCGTAGTAGTAGTAGTAGTAGTAGTCGTAGTAGTAGTCGTAGTAGTAGTAGTAGTAGTAGTAGTAGTAGTAGTAGTAGTAGTAGGAGTAGTCGATGTTGTTGTAGTAGCCGTAGTAGTAGTAGTAGTAGTAGTAGTAGTAGTAGTAGTAGTAGTAGTAGTGGTAGTAGTAGTAGTAGTAGTAGTAGTAGTAGTAGTAGTAGTAGTATAGTTAGTAGTAGTGGTAGTGTAGTAGTAGTGGTAGTCGTCGTAGAAGTAGTAGTAGTAGTAGTAGTAGTAGTAGTAGTAGTAGTAGGTAGTAGTAGTAGTTAGTAGAGTAGTAGTAGTAGTAGTGTAGTAGTAGTAGGAGTAGGAGTAGTAGTAGTAGTAGTAGTAGTGCGCAGTAGTAGAAGTCGTCGTCGTAGTATTTAGTAGTTAGTAGTAGTAGTAGTAGTTGTAGTAGTAGTAGTAGTAGTAGTAGTAGTCGTAGTTGAAGAAGCAGCAGTAGCATTCGTATTTTTTATGACAGTCGTAGTAGTAGTAGTAGTAGTAGTAGTCGTAGTCGTCGTAGTAGTAGTAGTAGTAGTAGTAGTAGTAGTAGTAGTAGTCGTAAGTAGTAGTAGCGTAGTAGTAGTAGTAGTAGTAGTAGTAGTAGTAGTAGTAGTAGTAGTAGTAGTAGTAGTAGTAGTAGTAGTAGTAGTCGTAGTAGTCGTAGTAGTAGTAGTAGTAGTAGTTAGTTATACTAGTAGAATAGTAGTAGTAAATCGTAGTAGTCGTAGTAGTCGTCGTAGTAGTAGTTGTGTAGTAGTGTTGTCGTAGTAGTAGTAGTAGTAGTAGTAGTAGTAGTAGTAGTAGTAGTAGTAGTAGTAGCGTAGTAGTAGTAGTACTTGTAGTAGTAGTAGTAGTAGTAGTAGTAGTAGTAGTAGTAGTAGTAGTAGTAGTAGTAGTCCGTAGTAGTAGTAGTAGTAGTAGTAGTAGTAGTAGTAGTCGTAGTAGTAGTAGTAGTAGTAGTAGTAGTAGTAGTAGTAGTAGTAGTAGTAGTAGTAGTAGTAGTAGTAGTAGTAGTAGTAGTAGTCGTAGTAGTCGTAGTAGTAGTAGTAGTAGTAGTAGTAGTAGTAGTAGTAGTGGTAGTAGTAGTAGTAGTAGTAGTAGTGGTGGTAGTAGTAGTAGTAGTAATAGCAGTAGCAATCGTTGTCGTCGTCGAAATTCTAGTGTGACCAGGGGAAGTCGTAGTGAATAGTTGTAGTGGTTTTGGTAGTCGCCGTTCTCTTATTCAACGTTTCATCATAATCAATGTTCTTCTACGGGTCTAGAGTAGGCGTACCAGTAATTGTATTTGCAGTACGGTCGATCGTTGTAGAAATAGCTGCGTGATCGTGATCACAGAAAGTGCAACACCAGTAGTAGTAGTAGTAGTAGTAGTAGTAGTAGTAGTAGTAGTAGTAGTAGTTTTTCTCGTGCAGTTCGCAGTAGGAGTCGTAGTAGTACCATGCGTCTGCCATCGACTAACTTATAGCACGAGCAGGGCAGCATCATCCATCTGAGGCGCAGTCCGGCCCTCGCAATTGGGCGCCAGCCGTAGAGCACCGATGCGCGAAACCATAGGACACCAGCCACAGATCACCAACCGTAGGGTACCATCCATAGAGCCCTGGGCCAGAAGCTCTGACCCTAAAAGTGTTGACATCTCTCGGGGGTGCATATCTAACCTCCGTCACCTTCCGCAGGCCTTCCGCCGGCTTCCGCCGGTGGAGCCGCACCCTTTTTTCTCTCGCTGGCCTTCCGCCGGCCCTTCGCCGCCTTCCGCCGGGAAAGAGACGTCAACTCCTCCGGCCCCTCAAAGGCGGGGCCCTTACTGGAGCGCTGCGTGTGGCACCAGCGCGAAGGGCACCAACCAAAGAGAATCGTTGCGCGAGCGGCCAGCCGCAACCGCAAGGGCGCTAGTCGCAGGGCACTAGAGGCAGGGCTCCAACGCATAGCGCACCACACAGGGCATCAGCGCATAGCGCAGTGACAATAGGGCACCAGCGCGTCTACGGCCGACTGAGGAGGGCCAGCTTCCCGCATCACAGCTGAGGAGCCGCAAGGGCACGTGCTTCTTGGGACAACGCTGTCCAGCGAGGGCCGCGTAGTGGAAGGGAACCTTTGGATTTGTGACCCAGTTGAGAATCTGATCTGTTTCTTGTGGCAAAAGTAGTGCCAGCGTGGGCCCCAAGCAGTAGGTTCTCGTACGTTCGATGCGCAGTCGATGTGGTGCACTTGCCTTCGACCGTCTTTCCTGTCTCCAATGCTAGCCCAAACACCCCACTTTCCCACCTGCATTTCGTTTGGCACAGCCTATTCGGTCACAATTGCGGTTCCCGCTTGGAATTTGCTAGCTCGCCTCTACGGCCGCGCTGGCGCGAGCAACCAGCTTGTTTGGCGAAACTGATGCGGCCACGATGGCGCTTAACGATGGGAACTTGCCAGCGCGTCTCAAATGCCGCACTGGCGCGCGGTCACTTCAGTACGAGTCGGTGACTCGGGCGGGCGCGCTATCATGATGACATCGACAACGGTCTGGAGTTCAGATCTCGAAAGATGTCTCCAGCCAGGTGAACCCCAGCGGGGGTGTCCGGTACCCCAATGTCGATGGGTTCCAACCTCGTCGCAGAAGGACAGCAGTGGTCGAGGTCAGAGCTTGGATGATGAGGATGGGAACCACCTCGTGAGACCCGTCGCCGCATCCTCCCCCCAGGCTTTGACAAGCGGCCGCCTGCGCTCCTGTCCATGGACCCGCTGCTGGACGTGGGTTCCACCACGAACGAGAAGCTCCGGAAGAAGGCTCGGCCGATGATGATGATGATGATGATGATGATGATGATGATGATGATGATGATGATGGTGGTGGTGGTGATGGTGATGATGCTTTGACAGTGATGGTGACGATGACGATGGCGATGATGCTGGTGATGATGATGATGATGATGATGAGGGCGATGTTGCTGCTGATGATGATTGTGGTGATGAGGATAGTGGTTATGGTAAGGATGTTGGCGGTGATGATGGTGATGATGGTGGTGGTGATGATGCTGATGGTGATGATGATGATGATGATGATGATGATGATGATGGTGATGATGCTGATGATGGTGATGATGCTAATAACAATGATGCTGATGATGCTGATGATGCTGATGATGCTGATGATGATGCTGATGATGATGCTGATGGTGCTGCTCACGATGATGATGGTGATGAGGATGACCATGATGGCGAGTTCGATTACTATTATGACGCTCATGATGGTGCCGATGGTGATGATGCTGATGATGATGCTGCTGATGATGATGATGCTTCTGCTGCTGATGATAATGACGATCATGCTGATGCTGATGATAATGATGCTGATGATGATGACGATGATGCTGATGATGACGATGATGATGATGATGATGATGATGATGATGATGATGATGATGATAGTGACGATTATGATGATGCTGCTGCTGATGATGATGACGACGATGATGCGGTTCATGATGATGCTGCTGCTGATGATGCTGATGCTGCCGATGATGATGATGATGATGATGATGATGATGATGATGATGATGATGATGATGGTGATGATGATGATACCGATGCACATGACGATGGTGGTTGTCCTGCTGCTGCTGTTGCTGTTGATGGTGAGGATGCTGATGATGATGGTGAGAAGGAGGATGAGGAGTAGCATGAGAATGGGAAGGAGGATCGAGGATCGAGGGTTCGTGGATCGAGGGTAGAGGTTGTTAGGGGTGTTTCTGGCTCTTGGGCCATTTTTGGTACCCTTGGGCGCTCTCGTCGCCACCCCGAGATTCAGGCCAGAACAGGTCTGGGGCCGCTTTTTCCGTATGAGGAGGATGAGGGGGATGATGAGGAGGGGGAGTGTGGTGATGGTAATGGCCACGACGCTGCTGCTGCTGCTGATGATTATGCTGCTGATGATGATGATGATGGTGATGATGATGATGCTGATGATGGTGATGATGCTGATGATGGTGATGATGCTGATGCTGATGATGATGATGATGATGATGATGATGATGATGATGATGATGATGATGATCATGCTGATACTGCTGATGGTGATGATGCTGATGATGATGCTGATACTGCCGATGATGATGCTGATGCTGCTGCTGCTGATGATGATAATGCTGATGCTGATGCTGATGCTCATGATGGTGATGATGCTATTCAGGAGGAGGAGGAGGAGGAAGAAGAGGAGAGGTAGGATCGGTGACGAGCAGAAGCGTGTTCGGTGGGGTTTGCTATGATAACTCAGTCCCTTCGGGGTAGAGGGTTGTGGAGGAGGAGGAGGAGAAGGTGGAGGAGGAGGAGGAGGAGGAGGAGGAGGAGGAGGAGAGGGTGGAGGAAGAGGAGGAGGAGGAGGAGGAGGAGGAGAAAGAGGAGGAGGAAGCGGAGGAGAGCTTAAGGGTTATTTTCTGGGTTATGTGGTGACGGTGCATATCTAGCTCGATTGATTTAGAACAATAGCAGGGCCTATGAACCTTCAGAGGCAAGTGGAGCAGGCAGTGCGACGCAAGTAGGGCCTTCCACGCCGAATAGGGGAGTGTTTCGAGAAGGAGACATCGTCATGTCATGACCTCGAGGCCGCGATGTGCCGATGCCAAGACCATGGCAGTGTCGCGCTCAAGCCAGTGCGCGCTTGGATCTCCCCTGGCGCGCGTCCCCATGGCCATTCCGAGATGCCGCCTCGGCACGTGCAAAAAGGGCGGCCCGCGGACGCACCTGCCGCGAGGGGAGGGGAACGCTCGGAAGGTGGGCGTCTTCCGTGGGGCCTGGTGGCGCCAGTTCTGTGTACGGTCACACTCGGGTTCGTGGCGTGTTGGGGTCGGCGGCGAGCGAGGGGGGAAGTGAGAAGGAGAAGGTCTTCTCATAGGCTGCGGGGCTTCCCAGAGGCCCCCCGTTCTTCTGAGGAGTTTGTTTTTTTGTGCCTCCGGAGAAGGCTTGGACCACTGCTCTGGAGGCTGTGGGACTTCTGAGCCCTCTGAGAAGGCCTTCTCCTTCTCACTCCCCCCCAGGCTCGCCGCCGAGTCTTGGGATCGAGGGGAAGGCTTAAAGACGTGAATTCGTCTTGGCGCTGAGGGGTGCTGTGCGCTGTGCGTGCTGCTCCGTCGCTTCGCTTGCCGTCGCATCGGACCCGCTGCGCGCTTCTACGACCAGTTGCGAACCCTACTCCAGATATCGTAATAAAAGGGAGGGGGTCTGGACCCTCCGAGACAAGCCATTTCAGACCTCCCCCGTGGGAGAACCCTCCAAAACATCGTCCCCAGACCCTCCCAGGCTCTCCAAGATAGCTTGGAAAAGACCCCCCCCGAAATGAGACCCCCCTCCCTTTATTACGAAATCTGGAGTACCCTTGCTGGTCCCATCGACGCTGGGGTAGTGGACGCCCCCGCGGGGAGTGCACGTGGTTGCAGGCATCCTTTGGATTCTGACCTCGGCCGGCGTTTCAGGAGTCTTATCTGCAGGGGTGGGGTTCGATCACACGCAAGAGTGACCTCTCGCCAGAGTGACCCCTGGTGCGGGCACACCGGGGCCCACAGATGGTTGACTGTGATGCGATATCATCGCCGCGCTCGCTCGGATTTAGCCTCCCCGCCGGCCCCGAAAGTCGGGCATCAAAGGTCACTTTTGCCTAGGGCCACTCTTGCGCGTAGCCGACGATTTTGTGGTTGCCTATTGCACCCCTGCGCTTTGGGGCGAGCGTAGCATGATGACGGCGCAGTCTGGACTTCGGGGGCCGCGGCCCCTGCAGGCGGGGCCTGGCGCAGCTCAGCTTCAGGGCTGCCCCTGTGCATTCACGCACGGACGTTCGTGCTGGGGGCGGCATGCAGGTAAAGCCTGATTCTCCGAGGGCCATCATCACCATCACCACCACCGCCATCATCACCATCATCACCATCCCTGCATCAAGAATCATCACCATCATCAGCATCCCCCCCCCCGCCACTCGGCCTGTGGGGTGGATCGTCGTCACTGTGCTGCTGCAGGTATCATGAGAGAGGCGCTGGCGCGGCCATGCGCACTGTCCCATCTTCACCTCCGCCCCGACCCCAGGCGCAAAGGGTTCTTCTTCAACGAATGGCAGGACAAGAGATGCTGATGCATTATCTTGACGTTCACCAGGACCCTTCTTCTTTCTGGCTTCCAGGTTTGTCGGCTTCGACTCCAGTCGCTGCTTATCGGTGTATGTCATGGAAGGCAGGGGATGGGTTCCGTCGAGAGGGCTGGAGCTCCTTTCGCATGACTGCCTATCCTCTGAGGGACGGCGCAAGACAATTCTGCAGAACTCAGAAAATCAGACAAGGGTACATGCACCCTTGGTAGCCGTCCATCACCTTTTCGGCGACCTTGTCTCTAGCTTGGCCCAACAAGTTTGCACCCCATCTTGCCTGCCTTCTTACCTGCATGTGTGTCTCATGATTGGCTGGTCCCGCTGGTAGGCTGCGATATCAATTGACTGCCGAATCAGGGCGTCATGTTGGATGTGGGTATGTCATGTGAAGTGGAACATCTCAAGCCCCACATTAGCGCTTCCGTGTGAACGTGATATATGTGATCCGAGCATTGCTCAGGTGGCCTTACATAACCGTTTTGGTAAGGCGTTTCTTCAGAGTCTTCTGGGAAACATGTGCTCAGATATCAACACCCTCATCGGATGAGGACGACGACGATGACGATGATGATGATGACGGCGATGATGATGCTGATGCCGATGATGCTGATAACGGTGATAAGGATGTTGCTGATGGTACTGATGAGGATGGTGCTAATGATGATGATGCTGATTCCGATGATGCTGATGATGATGCTGCTGATGATGATGACGGAGACGACGACGACGATGACGATGACGACGATGATTATGATGGTGATGATTGTATTATCATGAAGGTAATGATTATGCTGAGAATGATGATGCTGCTGCTGCTGATGATGATGATGATGATACTGATGATGATGATGCTGATGATCATGATGATAATACTTATAACGAGGATGAAGCTACTTATGCTGATGCTGCCGATGATGACGGTCTTGATGATGATGATGAGGATGATGATTATGACGATGCTGATTATGACGATGGTGATGGTGGTGGTGATGGTGACGATGACGATGATGCAACCGATGCTGCAGATGATGATGATGATGATGATGATGATGATGATGATGATGATAATGATGATGATGACGATGACGATGATGCTGATACCGACGATGATGATTACCAAGACGACGACGATGACGATGATGATGGTGATGGTAATGATGATGATGATGATGATGATGATGATGATGATGATGATGATGATGATGATGATGATGATGATGATGATGATGATGGTAATGTTGTTGAGGATTATATTGATGATGCTGATGATGCTGCTGATGAAGATGCTGCGGCTGATGCTGATGACGATGATGCTGCTGATGATGATAAGGAGGAGGATAATGAAAATGATGCTGGTAATGATGATGATGCTGCTGCTGATGATGATGATGATGATGATGAGGCTGCTGCTGCTGATGATGCTGAGATGCTGCTGATGAGGATGCTGCTGCTGATGAGGATGCTGCTGCCGATGATGATGATGATGATGATGATGTTGATGATGATGGTGATGATGATGATGATGACGATTATGACGATGATGCTGATGATGATGATGATGATGATGATGATGATAATGATAATGCTGCTGCTGATGATGATGATGATGATGATGATGATGATGATGATGACGGTCTTGATGATGGTGCTAACGATGCCAATGCTGACGGTGACGACTTTTATTATGATGATGGTGGTGGTGGTGGTGATGACGATAATGTTGTTGGCGTCGGCGTCGTCGTCGTCGTCGTCGTCGTCGTCGTTGTCGTTGTTGAATTTTCATTTCTGAAGAATAACTATTGTTGATCCTCCCTCACCGGTGCATGTTGTCTTTTCTCAATCAAAGTGTGCCCCTCGACGCTCGCATCTTGTTTTTTGACAGGGAAAGTCTTGATGCTCAAACTACGCCCCTGGCCCCCGGATTTTTACAACAACAACGAACAACGGCTCCCGCCTGAGACTTCCTCACAATTTAGCCAGGACCCCCGCCCGCTCCCGCCCGAGACTTCGTCGCATGTAATTCAGGAATCGCGCTCTCGCTTGGGACTGCCTGACAATTTATTCAGGAATCGCTCTCCCGGCGCTCTGGAGTCGCGCTCTCGCTGGAGATTAACTTGCAACTTACTGAAGAATAGCGCCCTTGCGTTGGAATTTCTTGCAATTTATTCAAGCGCCGCGCTCCCGACACCCAGGCACCCAGGAGTCGCGCTCACGCTTAGGACTCCCTCACATATTAGATAGGAATCGGGATCTCGCTGCCCTTCGTGGCCCCGTTGCAGCCCGTCGTGGCCCCCTCGCTTTGTTTCGTGGCCCCGTTGCAGCCCTTCGTGGCTCCTTCGCTTTGTTTCGTGGCCCCGTTGCAGCCCTTCGTGGCCCCCTCGCTTTGTTTCGTGGCCCCGTTGCAGCCCTTCGTGGCCCCGTTGCAGCCCTTCGTGGCCCACTCGCTGCCCGTCGTGGCCCCCTTGCAGCCCTTCGTGGCCCCCTCGCTGCCCATCGTGGCCCCATATATGTATGCCCTTCGTGGCCCCTGCTCGTTCGTGGCCCCGCTGTCGCCGTTTGTGGCCCCCTCACTGTCCTACGTGGCCCAGTTGCTACCCTCAGTGGCCCCATCGTTGCCTTCTGTGGCCCCGCATTATCTGCCCTTCGTGGCCCCCGCTCGTTCGCGCTCTTCGTGGCCCCATACGCATTCCCTTCGTGTCCCCGCTGTCGCCCTTCGTGGCCTACTTCGTGCCCTTCGTGGCCCTGCTGTCGTTCTCTCTCGCTCTCGCTTTCGCTCGTCGTCGCCGTCGTCGTCGTCGTCGTCGTCTTCGACGTCGTCGTCGTCGTCGTCGTCGTCGTGGTCGGTCCCCTGTCCGTCCCTCTTGGGGTCGGGTCGACGGTCCGCGGCCGCCCCGCCGATCAGCGCTGCCGCTGGCCAGGCCGACGGTCCGCGGCCGCCCCGCCGCTTGCCGGGGCCCGGCCTGCAGGGAAGAAAGGTATACCCCCCAAAAGGGGCTCGATCGAAGACGGAGAGGGCGGGTATCGAGGGTTTGGGAAATACGCGTTATTGGACACTCGATCAGATAAGTGCGGTCAGTCTCAAACTTATTATTATTATTACTGTTGTTGTTGAATATTATTACTTCTAAAGAAATATTATTGTTGAGACCCCTGGTGCGCGACCCCCCTCCAAAACCTAGGCCGCAGCCTCATTTCCTTCATTTTCTAGCGAAAGCTTCAGAAAAGTGGATTGTCACCGGATCCGGTTTTTTGTTGACGCCGTTTTCCCTTGCAAAAAACAATATAAAATGAAAATTCTTGTTCTTACTTGATCAAATTGCAAGAATCCCTTGCAAAAAATAAGGTAAAGTGGACATTCGTGCGCGCAAGACGAAATCCTTCCAAAACCTTAGGTTTCGTAACGATTTTAACATAAAAACATCAAAAACCCAATGGTTTTTTAAGACAAAATTGTCAAAATGTCCTTCCGCGCGCGCTGTCCGAATCCCACAAAACCAATGGTTTTTCAACATTTATGTTACATGAGCTCGCGCGAGCTACTTTTTCTTGTTCTAACATAATCAAATTTCAATAATCCCTTGCAAAAAATAAGGTAAAGTGGACATTCGCGCGCGCAAGACGAAATCCTTCCAGAACCTTAGGTTTCGTAACGATTTCAACATAAAAACATCAAAAACCCAATGGTTTTTCAAAAAAAAATGTCCAAATTTCATCCCGCGCGCGCTGTCCGACTCCCACAAAACCAATGGTTTTTCAACATTTATGTTACATGAGCTCGCGCGAGCTACTTTTTCTTGTTCTAACATAATCAAATTTCAATACTCCCTTGCAAAAAAAAGTAAAGTGGACATTCGCGCGCGCAAGACCAACAAAAAACACGACGATCTCAGGAACTTGCCCCAAAAATGTGACCAACTCCGCTCTCTCTGTCTCTCTCTCTGTCTGCTCTCTGTCTCTCTCTCTGTCTGTCTGTGTCATGTATTGTATGTCACAATTGCAGGATGCTGGGCACACGCGCGCCCCGAATAAGTGACCAAGTTCTGTGGGTGTGTACCCCGCGCCAGTGTAGTAGCCACGGTCGTCCGCACGCCACGAAGTGAAGTGTCCCAACGTCATAGGGCGGGAAGCTGGGTTTGGGTGGTCGCGAAGAGTCGTTTGGATATTTGGTAGAGCTTGAACTGCCCCCCCACGAAGTGGGGGTATTGTCTCGCGTCGCATGAAAACCCTGGCACTGGTGAGAACACTGAGCGTTCGGGTAAAATGATTGTTGTTGTTGTTGTTGTTGTTGTTGTGGTTGTTGTTGTTGTTGTTGTTGTTGTTGTTGTTGTTGTTGTTGCTGTTTTTGTTGTTGTTCTCTCATTACTGAAGATGATTATTGTTGGTCCCCCCTCTGGTGCAAATTGTAGTTTTTCAATAGAAGGGCCCATCTCTGCGCTCGCACCCGGTTTTTTATCAGGGAAAATCTTCCTCATCAAACTGAGTTGTTGGCCAGTTGGCCCCCGGGTTGCAGCAACAACGGCTCCCGCTTGAGATTTCCTTATAATTTAGCCAGGACCCCCGCTCCCGCCCGAGACTTCCTCGCATTTATTAATTCAGGAAACGCGCTCTCGCTTGGGACTGCCTGACAATTTATTCAGGAATCGTTCTCCCGGCGCTCTGGAGTCGCGCTCTCGCTGGAGACTTGCTTGCAACTTACTGAAGAATAGCGCCCTTGCGTTGGCATTTCCCGCAATTTACTCAAGCGCCGCGCTCCCGACACTCAGGCACCCAGAAGTGGCGCTCACGCTTAGGACTCCCTCACATATTAGATAGGAATCGGGATCTCGCTGCCCTTCGTGGCCCCGTTGCAGCCCTTCGTGGCCTCCTCGGTGCCCTTCGTGGCCCCGCTGCACCCCTTCGTGGCGCCCTCGCTTTGTTTCGTGGCCCCGTTGCCCCTCGCTGCCCTTCGTGGCCCCGTTGCAGCCCTTCGTGGCTCCCTCGCTTTGTTTCGTGGCCCCGTTGCAGCCCCTCG